CTCTGAAATTTACATATGGCGCACAGATAACAATTAAAACAGATTTTTGTGCTAGGCCGCGTATTTTGACCAACGGACAATTTTTATTAATGTCGTGTGCGCCCTGTTGAAACAAAGGGATGGTACAGTGGAAAAAATTAGGAATGAAGTCCTTCTAATGACTACGCGAGGGCCAATATGCAAGGGAGAACATGATCGACTCAGTCCCAGACTATATTGTTATGTCCCAAAATATATTCATCATGCACATATTACATACTGACCAAACTGAAGATAGCAGCTTGCAAATTTGAATGGTGCCTCTGATGAATCCTTGAGACATATATTTATAACATCAAAAGATCATTAGTATTATCAGAAATAGCATACCTCATGAACTATCAAAGAGAACTTGCTGCTTGTCCGATTATAGCACCACTGGACTGTCAAGTACATGCTTATAAATCTTCAATGATATGCTCAATCAAGTACGTTGGTCTGATGGTGCCTGAGGTTTGTCGAAGTTCTCTAGCTCTTATAAATCTTCATAAATATGCTCAATCAAGTGCATTGGTCCGATGGTGCCCATGTGTGTAAATATCCCACGGACCAACACATTCCATGTTGCTTCATTTGGACATATTCCTTCATATAACATCTTCAAGAGATAGACCATGGCATCATCCAACCTGTGCTGACTGCAAAGCCCTGACATCAGACTTGTGTATGCAACTATGTTGCGTGGACAATTAACTGCAACCATTTGACCTAACATCCAAGCAGCAGCCTTGACATTCCCTTCCTTGCAGTAAGCATGAATTATCGCATTGAAAGTGAATGCATCTGGTTGAATTTGTTGGACTATCATCCTCCCGAGAAGAATTATAGCTTCTTTGTTCCTTCCCATCTGGCACAGACCACTAATAGTAGTGTTGTAAGATACTGGAGTCAACTCAAGCCCATGGTTTAGCATCTGGATCAGCATTCGAAGAGCGTCTTCGCAGTTTCCTTCCCTGAAAAGACCATGAAGCAACTCATTGTAAGTCCTGTCGTTTGGAGAGCATCCATATCTTCCCATACCATGGAACACACTCAAGGCTCTTCCCACTCTTCCGCAGTGACACAGGCTTCTGATCAACGTGTTGAATGTCAATGTGTTAGGAGGACAATTTTCCATCAACATCTTATCAATGAGATTCTCTGCCTGATCAAACATCGCCTTCTTGCAAAGCACATCCACCATATTTGTATAAACAACAACGTTTGGCTTGAAACCAGCATTTGTCACGTCATTCCATATTGACATGGCACCATCTAGGTCCCCAGCTTTGGAGAATCCGTCAATGAGAGTAGAATAGGTCCTTACATCAGGAAAACAACCGTTTTGCTCCATGCCACTGAAAACAGACGATGCCCTCTTAAGATCACCAGTGTGGCAAAGGCCACGGATGAGAACATTGTAAGAGATTGTCGTTGGTGCCCATCCTTCAGCCACCATCCAATTCCACATGCCAATCGCGTCATGCGCCTTTCCGGCATCGAAGAATCCTTTGACCAACACAGTGAATGTTTGAACATTTGGAGCACAACCTTCGCTTACCATCCTAGCCAAAATGGCGCAAGCCATCTTCATCTCCCCAGCCTTGCAGAGTGCATCGACTATGCTTGTGTAGGTAGCAGGTTCTGGGTGCAGTCCCCGGTGAATCATCTCGTCGATAACCGAGAGCACCTCCCGCATCCTGAACTGCCTGCACAGCGCGTGAACAACGGCATTGTACGAGGAGCACACAGGCACTGTCTCTGCCACGACCCTCCTGGCCTCGTCCACCCTTCCCAACTTGCAAAGCGCAGAAACGATCGTCGTGTGGCTCACCACGTCTGGCTGGCAGCCCTTCCTGGCCATTTCGTCGAGCATCTTGCGTGCGGCGTCGACCCGGTCGTTCTGGCACAGCGCCTTCATGAGCAGATTGTAGGTGTACACGTTGGGCTCGACGCCGGCCTCCCTCATGTTCTCGTACACCGGCACCACCGCCCCGACCAGGTTCTCCCGGAGCAGCGCGTCGAGCAGGTGGTTGTACACCCGCACGGTGGGCGCCGCGCACCCCAGGTCGTGCGCGCGGTAGAACGTCTTGAGCGCGCGGTCGGCCGCGCCGGCGCGGGCGAAGGCGCAGATGGCGGCGACGAGGGCACCCTCGGGGCACGCCACCCCGCGCAGCCGCATCTCCTGCAGCGCGTACTGGACGCCGTCCACGTCGCCCGCCGCCGCGAGCCTCCTGACGGTGGCCTCATGGGCCCTCGCCGTGTCTCCGGCATCAGGAGAGGGCTTGGATCGCTCCGGCCACCGGATGGTGACTTGCGGGTTGCTCTTCCGGTGGTTAGGTGGCGTGGCGGTGGAGAAATGGCGGTCGTGGAGCCGCCTGAGCAGGAGGCGGCATTTGGTCGAACACATGGCGCGCAGCTAAAACTTCGACGGTCAAACAGAGTAGTGGCCCCGTTTGTGTAAGCCACGGGTACTTCAGGCCGCCTAATGTTTGGGCCTGGTTTTGAAGCCCAGCCTAATTCAAACTGACACGAACTCGTTCTCATCAAAAGAAAAAACGATTCTCAAAAAAATAATCAACAGAAAAAATTATCTAAAAAATTCAGGATTTCTCAAAAGAAAAAACAAACTCAAAGTATGGGCAGTGGGAGACATCCGAGAAGCCTTCCGTCCTACTTTCTTATAGTCCTATAATATAAGTTGTGTTTTTACTGGAGAAAGAAATTCATTGCTTAATCATGATGATTACAAATCATTTTGAGTCGGCACAAGAATTTCTTGAGAAACGGACCTCAACCAAACAGCAGTGCGAGTAGAATTATGCCACATTCGAGCTAAGTTATGAGCGACCGAATTACGAGAGCAACATATCATGGATATGGCGTGCTCCCTGCCCATGTTCAATAGACGTTTGATCTCCTCAACCAAGGCTGCCCCTGGCGAACGATCCTTCTCCTCAATCATTGTAATAACATCTTATATTTATACGACAAAAGGAGTACCTAAGAGAAACTCGTTTCGGGTGAGAGAAGTGGCTAAGAGGCAAAGATTAGAGTAAGGAGTTGATATGGCAGCAATGACCTCTTCGTTGAATATGTTATCTGGGCTTTGTCCCTTCTAGCACTGTGTTGTTTACCGTCGACAAGGAGCAAGTGGAGGTGGGTCTTCACCAGTTGAATCGTCGTCTTACATGTTCCTCTGCAAGGTGAAGAATATTCTTCTTTCCTAACGACAACAATGAGCGGTGGTTTCCACCCTCGGGCGGCTAAAATGACTTCAAAAAGCTTAAGGGCGGGTTCACTCTGTGAATGTCGGGTAGGCGGACGGCCGATTAACCGACATTAGCGCGGGTAGTCGTCTGCCCTGTCGGGCCACGTTCGCTTCATCAGCATGAATAAGACGCAGACAACAGCGAGAGAGGAGCTTTAGAATGACTCCGAATTGTCAAAGTCCAATGTGTCAATGTCCAGACTCCCGCAAACATCCCCCACTCTGTTGCCGGTATGTGGGATTCGAGACGCCCAGGCCGGTGCGGATAAATTTGGTGACCTCCGTTAAATGGACACTGTATGGCCAAAATCGTCCAGACCGTCCAATCTAGACATTTGTGGGCGATTTGATGATCCGTGTTGGTATTGCAGTTGGAGTTGCACAATGAATTAGTATGTAAATCCCAGAAAGCACATGGCATAAAGGTCAATTTCCCACCTTCCCGCCTGCATGAATTCCGACAGTAGATTTCTCGCAGTTTTATTAGGAGTTTGCTCAATTGGGACATTCGAAACTCAGTACTGTATGTCGATTTTCTCAAAAAGTACCTTCACAGTACTATAGTCTATCTTCACAAAGAAATTTTGTAATGAATCAGCAGTCAAACTTGTGTACTCTTTGAGAGAGCGTTCCAGAACAGAAGAGTCAGAGTCATAGCATAGCACCGACAAAGCACTTAATAATCTCACGTTAAGCAGGCGTACTTAATGCCATGTGCCCAAGAGAGCACTTAATGAAGATCTGTCCTGTTGTCGATCATTTATCATTCGCTCTTAATCTGTTTATCATTTCTTGCTCGCTTAGCTATCTTTTGTGTGATATCCTTTATAGTAGCTTTTACTCCCTCCGTTCCAAAATATAAGTCTTTTTAAATATTCCACTACGGACTACATACGGATGTATATAGACATATTTTAGAGTGTATATTCACTCATTTTGCTTCGTATGTAGTCCGTAGTGAAATTTCTAAAAAGACTTATATTTAGGAACGAAGGGAGTACTTCGCTATCCATTTTTAGTTTTCCCTCATGCTGGTGCAACTAGTAGTATACTGTTTTACCATCGTGATAGTTAAGCCAGTTCTCTACTATGCTCGAATGATTGTTGCATCCTGTCTTGAAAGATTTGTTCCTCGGTAGGTTTCTTGCTCAATTTCATAACTATGAATATATTTCGCTACAGTGTTTGGGCTCAAATCAAAACATTCAGAAGAGTTCTTGAATCTCCCATTCACCCCTCCCCCATTTGGTCGATATACTCTCGGTCCTAACAGAAGCGATGACCTCTTCGTTGAATAAGTTAGTTGGGCTTTGTCCCTGTTCCGGCACTATGCTATTTGTCGTCGATAAGGAGCAAGTGGAGATGGGTCTAAAGGAAATATGCCCTAGAGGCAATAATAAAGTTGTTATTTATATTTCCTTATATCATGATAAATGTTTATTATTCATGCTAGAATTGTATTAACCGGAAACTTAGTACATGTGTGAATACATAGACAAACAGAATGTCATTATTATGCCTCTACTTGACTAGCTCGTTGAATCAATGATGGTTATGTTTTCTAACCATAGACATAAGTTGTCATTTGATTAACGGGATCATATCATTAGAGAATGATGTGATTGACTTGACCCATCCGTTAGCTTAGTACGATGATCGTTTAGTATGTTGTTGTTGCTTTCTCCATAACTTATACATGTTCCTATGACTATGAGATCATGCAACTCCCGAATACCGGAGGAACACTTAGTGTGCTATCAAATGTCACAACATAACTGGGTGACTATAAAGATGCTCTACAGGTGTCTCTGATGGTGTTTGCTGAGTTGGCATAGATCGAGATTAGGATTTGTCACTCCGTGTATCGGAGAGGTATATCTGGGCCCTCTCGGTAATGCACATCACTATAAGCCTTGCAAGCAATGTGACTAATGAGTTAGTTGCGGGATGATGCATTACGGAACGAGTAAATAGACTTGCCAGTAATGAGATTGAACTAGGTATTGAGATACCGACGATCGAATCTCGGGCAAGTAACATACCGATGACAAAGGGAACAACGTATATAGTTATGCGGTTTGACCGATAAAGATCTTCGTAGAATATGTGGGAGCCAATATGAACATACATGTTCCGCTATTGGTTATTGACCGGAGACGTGTCTCGATCATGTCTACATAGTTCTCGAACCCGTAGGGTCCGCACGCTTAATGTTCGGTGACGATCGATATTATGAGTTTATGTGATTTGATGTACCGAGGATAATTCAGAGTCCCAGATGTGATCACGGACATGACGAGGAGTCTCGAAATGGTTGAGATATAAAGATTGATATATTGGATAGCTATATTCGGACACCAGAAGTGTTCCGGGTGATTTCGAAAAAAACCGGAGTCCCAGAGGGTTACCGGAACCCCCCTGGGGAACTAATGGGCCACATGGGCCTTAGTGGAGAGAGAGAGGGCAGGCCAAGGCAGGGTCGCGTGTGCGCCCCTCCCCCTCTATTTCGAATTGGCTCCTTCTTCCTTCTCCTATCATTCCTTCCCCCTTCCTCCTCCTAGTTGGACTAGGAAAGGGGGAGTCCTTCTCCTACTAGGAGCAGGACTCCTCCCCTCCTTGGCGCGCCCCAAGGGCCGACCGGCCTCCCCCTTGCTCCTTTATATACGGGGGCAGGGGGCACCCTAGAACACACAAGTTGATCATTGATCCCTTAGCTGTGTGCGGTGCCCCCCTCCATCATAATCCACCTTGGTCAGATCATAGCGGTGCTTAGGCGAAGCCCTGTTCTGGTAGCATCATCATCACCGTTATCACGCCGTCGTGCTGACGAAGCTCTCCCTTGACATTCAGCTGGATCAAGAGTTCGTGGGACGTCACCGAGCCGAACGTGTGTAGATCGCGGAGGTGCAGTACTTTCGGTACTAGGATCAGTCGGATCGTGAAGACGTACGACTACATCAACCGCGTTGTCATAACGCTTCCGCTTATGGTCTACGAGGGTGATAGAGCATTTCCTCATATAATCTTTTTAGCCTTTTTGCACCACATTGTAATCATATTTTCACATTATTTACTTCAGAAATATTCAAATACCCCCATTATGCTACATTTACAACACTCCTCCATGTTTTGCAGAAAAAGGCGAAAAGGCCCAAAATCCTTCTATAATAGAGAGTGTCAAGAAACTGTGGTTGCTGTAACTTACGGAGGGACCCAACCATGAAGAAAAGAAGTAACTAGAGGGGTCAAGATAAAGTTGGAGGGATCATCTTGTGAAGAGAGAAGAGAAGTGGAAGGGCAAAAGAGCAAAACTGGCAGATCAGAGGAGGGGATCAAATCCCTAGCGGCAACCATCGATCCCCTTTGGGCCTGGCTACATATCCCTCTCCCCCAACCTTCTTCTCCACCTCTGGCCGTCGCCGCGGCCAGGCCGGCATGGCGGCGCGCCACCTAGTACCTCCACCCACTCCACAACGCTGCAGCACCTCCACCCGCGCTACCGCAACCCATCCATCCACCAGGCGCCATCACATCCAGCCACCATCACCTCGCGCGCCCTACAAGACTAGAGGTCGTGGTTGTTTGGTGCCCCGCGCGATTCTCCACCTCTCTTCTTCAACCTGCTGCTGTTCGCCCTCAACCCTCTCTGCTGCTTCTCTCACCCGGATGCCCCTGCTGCTCCTTCTCCCACGTCTTGCTGCTGCTTCTCTTCTCTGACCCCCATTGCTGTTGCCTTTTCCTCTGAACCCCTACCGCTGATCCTTTTCCTCAACTCTCTCTGCTGCTCCTCTCACGCGGTCACGCCCCTGCTGCTACTCCTCTCAAAGCCCCCACGCTGCTGCTCCTTTTATTTACCTCCTATTCTGCGCTTCTTCTCTGAACCCAAACTGGTGCCGCTCCTCTTCTCTCTTTACTTTTTGCAAATTTCTGAAACTTGTAGGTGAACCTTGTGTATTGTTCTAAACACCTAATTTCTCTAAAATTAAGATATGTAATACTTTGTAAGGTTCAGATTTTAAGAGTACTTGCAACCTGCTGTTTATTTTGTTTCGTACTTGTAACTATAATGTACAATTAATATTTGGTCTATGTGATTTTTCTTTCTGAGTTAGTAATCTGCTAGCATGTGTTTGTGTTCA